GGCTCGTTTGACGAGATTCGGCGCATCTCGGGCATTTCGACCGAGTCCTTTGTGCGCTCGATGAGCGTGCACACGCGCGAGCGGTTCAGCGAGGGCAAGTCGGGCGCCTTCCTCTACTTTACCGGTGCAACGCAGTATATTCGATCCACGAGTCTCACGATGCCATGCTGTAGGCGACCAGCGCTTCATCCTCAAGACATGTACGCAGGCCGAGCAGCAGTACTTGCTGCAGATTCTACCGCAGTACATTCGCCACCTGACGTCCTTTCCCAACTCGTTCCTCTCGCGGTACGGTGTTGGATCTAAGATCTAAGATCTGAGATCTGAGACGACTTGAAACTAGATACGTGGGTTGCTACGACCTGATCGTGTACGACCAGACGGTCCGCTTCATTGTGCTCGCCAACGTCATGCAAAATCCATCTGTGGACGTCGACGAGTTCTTCGATCTCAAGGGTAGCTACGTCGGCCGGTACAAAAATGCGCCTCTGGTAGGAGGCTGAGACGCATTGCGTAGGTATGATGACCCGATGGCCCAAGGCGTCCGGAAGGTCTGCAAGTACTGCGGCATGGAGTTTGTGGTCGGCATGACGCAAGAGCTCTGCAAGATGAACCCGTTTCCGAACCAAGGCCACACGCAAGAAATGTATGCTTCTGGAACTCATCTGGCATCTGAAATCTGAAAATCGGAATGTGGAATGTAGTTGTGGCAAGGACCTCAACTGGGCGTCGCGCCAGATCTCGCTCGACAATGAACTCGCCGACAAGATTGCGACGCAGCTCAACACGGACAGCGAGTTTCTGCGCTCGATCAACTCGATCGACTACTCGCTCATGGTGGGCTTGCACACGGTGGGGCTGCCGCGGCCCCCGCGGCCGGTGGTGTCGGCCACTCCGTACAGCAGCGCGAGTACGCCGCCGCAGAACGACAACGCGACGCCGAGCTATTTGTTTCACGACGAGGACGAGTCCCGCGACGGTGTCCACCAGCCCATCTACCTCAAGGACCACAGTGAGTACGAAGCCATGGCGTCACCGGACTCTTCGTGCGTCAGCAATGTCACCGAGGTAGACTCTCTCTCCATGTCTGCGCTGTGACCAGTCATCAGGTGGTGCTGCTGCAGGACACCACCAAGCATCCTGGCAACAAGAATATGTTTGGGAAGGGCACGAGCCTCGACAAGATTTCAAGCTCGCCGACGCCGCAGCTGTACCAGCACCGCGCCGAAGACTGCGTCGTGTACCTCGGCATCATTGACATTCTGACGCCGTGGAGCATTCGCAAGCAGCTCGAGCACTGGTTCCGCGTCTACTTGCAGTGCAAGGACCGCCAAGGCATCTCGTGCGTCGACCCGAAGCAGTACGCCAACCGGTTCCGCGAGCACGTCGTCGCCGTTGTTATCCAGGGCAAGAAGCCGCCACCGCATCTCGAGGAGAAGCACAAGCAGCTCGAGAAGAAGCATTCGCAGCTGCCGTTGAGTCAACGCGAGTCGCTGAGCTCGGCGGTCCAGCAACCGATGATGAGCTTCCAGACGCCGCCACCGGCGCGGGCGCCGACGATGGTGGCCTCCGATTTCACCGGATCGCACCTCGTGCTCGACCACCTGCCGTCGTCGCGCTACTCGGGGTCGTCCTCGGTCGCCGCCGCGGTCGGCCCGACCTCGTTTGGCCAGCCCTACGGCATGTACTCGATGAGCTCGTTCCGGAGTGCGCAGCAGCAACAACAGTATGCATGAGGCAACCAGCAGCCTCGTATTTATAACCGATAATCGTGGGTGTTGACTTACATCCGCGAGTCGATCGTCTGGCACTCGACGCGTGCTTGATCGACACCGGCTCGGCCATGTCGCTGGGGTTAGGGCTCTTCTGGCGCCAGAAGCGGTGCGGCGGTCGTTGTCGGTGGGGTGGCGACGTGCACTTGACTTGGACGATGCACCCGAGCGCACCAAGCCAGAGAAGAACGCAGAGCGACGGCACCGAGAGCGCGTTATGGTCGAGGTTGTCTGTCCACACGAGGCCGCATGCCGTCACGACGAGCGCGCCGTCCAGCGCCGAAGCCAGCACGATCGCTGCGTAGACGTCGCTGCCAAACGCACCGAAAACGCCCGATACGACGAGCGATACGACGTTGGCCGTCGCGCTGGCCACGTCATGTGCATCGCAGAGGGCTAGCATGAGAGCGGCGACGGCGGCGGCGACGGTGCAGAGGCCGCTGCCGCGAAGACAGAGTCCGCCCAGCACCGCCATACCCAGCGCGATCGCGAGAATCGCAAAGCCGATGGCGCCGAACGCGACGGCAAAGCCAGCGCCGAGGAAGAAGCCGGTACAGACGCCTGCATAGCGGCGGTAGTGGTAGCCCGCGAGGAGCAATGGCAGCGCGAGGACGATGACGATCGCGGCGGCGATGTCGAGGAGGCCGCCCATGTCGGGCAGTCTGCTGCAAAAATGAAAATGCAAAGTGCACGCCACGCGGTGGTTAAATGACATGGTTCTTGAACCTCCAAATCAGATTGCGTCGTCGGTGCAACGACTACTCTATCGCAGAAGGATCATGCCATCGGTCGACGAAGCAGAGCGAGGCGCGTCCGAGGCCGGCGTCCCAGCAGCAAGTGAACCCCACGAGCTGACCGTTGCCCGCGTCCCGAGTGACTTTGCCGAGGTTGGACGAGCCAACGGCGCGCTCCCAGGAATATTTTGGGGGGGGTGTAACGTGGTGTTGATGCCACTGTGGGCCGGCACGAGCACATGTGCGCGTCAAGAGTCTTGACGCAAGACTTGGTACTGGTACTTGGTACAAGAAAATGATACCAACTGCGTCTTGACTCAAGACGCAGTTGGTACCATTTTTCTTGTACCACACGGGCAGATTAGCACAGAGTTCGAGCCCCGTTGGCGCGTCGCTTTTCATGATTGTTGGCCACATGGCAGAACATGGTGTGCTTCTTTCCAAACGCTACGGTGTGTCGAGACGATGCCTTGTGGTCTAGTCTATCGTATACAGCACAACAAAAATAGTCCATTGCACTATACGAGGCCGATTAGACGGCAGTGAACGGCACCACGTTCACCGGCGTTGTCGGCGTTGTGTTGTCGACAGGCGCCGTGAAGCGGACTTGCACCAAAAGACCACTTAAAAAGGCGACGGCGAGTGTGACGAGCGTCACGGTGCCGTAGCCGCCCGTCCCAAACGACGGCTCGTCGCGGTCAAAATCGCGGTAGTTGGTCGACGTCAAGGTCGCAATCGCCCCTGCGAGGAGCCAAGCCCCCGAGAAGGTCGACGAGAGAATCAGTGCCGTGCGCGAGTTGTAGCTGAGAGCCGCGACGATCACCATGCTGGCGAAGAGGATGACGAGGAGCAGGATGTAGTTGGTGTACACATCGGCGACGATGGCCGTGGCCACCGTGAACGCCGCGAGGGCGACGGTGCCAAAGCGACCGGCCGCAGGGAACCGCGCGCCGACACCGGCGGCAAGGACACCGACGGCGAGCGCGACGATGGAGCCGATGAGATCGCTGACGCTGGGAAGCACGAGCAGACTCCAGGCGACCCCGAGGAAGAAGCTGGAGACGGCGCCGGTCAAAACTTGAAACTTGTAGCCGACAAAGGTCATCGGCAGTGCGAGCACCAGCACGAGGATCGCGAGAACGGTGCTGAGCATTGCGGTGTGTCGTACAGCAAATTGGGAAATGAATCTGGTCCAGGCCAGGGTCCAGGCTATTAGCGTCAAGGTCTTCCTGGACATCTGACAAAGACATGTGTTGACAGAAGGGGTGTCGACACGCGATCCACCCACCGCCGCCACGCCGCGCAACCAACCAGTGCACACACTGTGCTGTGTCGACAGGTAGTTTCCTTGGGTGCTGAAACACTTGTGGTGTTGGGGCACTGGAGGAAGCTGACAGATAAGACGGGGCGCGGACAGCGTTGCGTCGACGCGTCCTTTGCTCTGAGCGAGTCGAGGAGGCTGTTCGGCTCGTACTATGTGATAACGCAGCCTCACACACTGGAGGCAGCGAGAGCGGCTCGGGGTAATCTCTGCGGGTGGCCCGTCTTTGAACTTCGTGCATGTCATTGAAGTGTCATCTTTATTTCCTGGATTTTTATCGATTTTGAAAGGGATGACCTGGTTCTTGTCAGAACTGATAAGAATCCAGGCAAAATGGAAACTTCAAGTGGTACAAATTGTAGCATACCAGTTCTACCCCGTCAGTGAAACCCAACAAATCTGAATCCATGCCGACAATCCAAGACCAGGACCTTGAACCTGATAACCATGTCTCGTCGAGGTGACTGAGTCGTGCGAATTTTAATGTTTTTTAAATGAAATGTGGGAATCCAAGTCGCGTCATGTCATGTGGACACGAAGGCAGCCATTTTTGCTATTTTTTGCTAACGCTGTCCAGCGCAGATGGTCACCTGTCGCCATCAGCAAAACAGACGAGTCCGCTTTCGTGGACACGTGTGACACCAAGCATGGACACCAAGGTGGCTCGGGATGCAGCACTATCATTTTCCAACTTTCCCACTCTCCAACAAGTCGACCACCAGCGTCATCATGGCCCTCGACACCATCACCGTCATCCTCTCAATCGTTGTGCTCTTGCTGGCGCTGCCTGTGACCTTTGCCGGCTACAAGCTCCAAGTGTTCACGGGCGCCGTCTCCAGCTTCTTCTTCGCCGCTCTTTGGTGCATGCTTGTCATCGCTGACTTCGTGCAGCCCATGTACGCTCTCATTACGCTTGCCGTCGGCATCATTGCTGCCGCCGTTGCCGCCCGCGTCCACGTGGTTGGTCGCTTTGGCACGGTCGCACTAGCCGTGCTCTTGGTCACCGGTGCGGTCGTCGCCAACATCTACACGTACGACGCGCTCTTCGTGGTCGTCATTTCGGTCGTCACGATCGCCGTCGCATACCTGAACCATACCTCGCGCACGGCGCTGATTCTCTCGTCGGTGTTTTCGGGGGCGACGCTGCTCGCGGGGGCCGTCGCAGTCTTGACGGGGACAAACGACGGCACGTTTGAGCACTTCGATTCTTCGTACGACGTGGGCGTTAACGGCACGGTGACAATTGCTGCGCTCGCGCTGGCATTCCTTGGCGGTCTCGTGGTGCAAATCCGCTTCACGGCGCCTCGCGACACCCCGTCCACGCCGCCGACAGCTGCTCAAGAGGCGACGCCGGCTACGTACGCAGCAGTCTAGCCTCAATGGTCTAGCCTCGGATCTTCTTTTATAACATTCAACATGTCGAGTGTGTGCATCGATTATGTAGACTAATGGCGTCGTCGTTTGGGGACAGGACTCGTCGAGTGCGTCTCTCTGTCGCTGTGATTTTGCGTTTGGCGCTCATTTCGGCTCTAAAATTCAGTGGCAACCTACAGTAGGTCAACTGGACCATTTACGACTATGACTCCAAGTCGTGCCACGTCATGAAGACGGCTGGTAACGTCAGCAACCATCTGGCAGGTCGTGTCAAGCGCCTGTCTACAGGCCAATGTACAATATGTACGAGTTTGTTGCGGGTATGTATGGCTCCCTCCCAACCTGTCTACGATTGTCGCGAGCATACATGTAGCATTGGACGGGAAACATCCCCGTGAGGCGAAAGGTTCGCGCTGTCCAGGTCTCGTCTCAGTACACGAGAGCTTAGTGCGTCGATTTTAGGGGTATCCAGAGGACGGGCAGTCAGCCGCTTACTGTCCGTCCTCTTCTCATTCTGTGGGCCTGGCACAGCACACGTATTGCAGGGCCTGTATCCTATTCCACAGCCAAGTCAATGTCAATGTAGGAACTAAGCCTTTAAGAGTCAAGATTCAATATCAATTTCTGGGCTTTATAGGCTGTTGTGCGACAACCGCGTGTCCACTTTTGAAAAATAATACTATGGCAAACGATGCCACCGCCCTCCCGACGGCCATCGCGTCATTAACGCTAGCGCTGCCATTGCTCCTCGCTGGCTGCCGCAACCGCCGCTACACGGGTGTCTTCTCTGGCTTTCTCCTCGGTGGCGTCCTCGCCACGGCGCTGGGTGCGCCGCCTGGTGTCGTGCTTGGCCTCGGTCTCGGCATCGCGATCGGCGGCGGCCTCCACGACCGCTTCGGCGGCTTCTGCACCGTGGCTGTCGCTGCGTGCATACTTCTAAGCTTTTTCTGCGGCCTTCTCCGCCTCGGCGCCGTCGCGACGCCAATCGTGTCGGGCGTTGCTGCGATTGGCCTCGGGGTTGCGTCGCGCGACTCGCGGGACGGTAGACTCTTGGCCTCGGCCTTCACGGGCGCGGTTGTGGCGTCGACCGGCTTTTTAGTCCTCACGGCCCAGACGTTTACAGGGTTCTTCTATGCGATGGCTATTGTCTTTGGCGTCTTCTTCGTCGTTGGAATTATTGTCCAGATCAAGTACACGGCGCCGCCCGACGGCCTTCGCACTCTCCGGACGGTGCCCCTGCTGCCCACATCGACCAACGCAGGGTAGTACTCTTGTTTGCTCGCACATGCCAATGTAATGACCTGCACCTTATTGTTTGTGACTACCAGTCATTCTTGAAAGCTCAAGTTCTTTGACTCCGACACAGATTGGGTGTCTGGTCGCATCCATCAGCACAGCAATCTTGGCTACAAGCTCGCGTTGCAGCGGATGGTCGTTGAACGCTCGTGACCGCTCATTGGCACGCTCGTTGGGCCACACAGCCCCGGCACTGGAGAGTGAGGTCGGGCATCGTTCATTCGCTTCGCGTTCGCGGCAATGGACTCGATTTGGCCGACTTGAATTATCCGGAATCCAAGGATCGAAGTGCAGTCTTTGCTTTGAGCTGCGTCCGTGGCTGAGAAATTACTCGTAGTGCTGCGGGTCAGTGCATCTTGTCCCCTCATCGCCACGAAGAATGGCTCCGCGGTACCTTTCTATCGATCTGCGGCCTACCCACAACTCTCCCCACAACTACGAGAGAGGTACAAGTGAGCGTTTAACAGTAGCAATGGATTATAGAATAATAGAATAATTTCATAGGGATCTCGCAGACCGCAAGCTATTACCGTGTGGACATTGGGATTCGAAGCATGCGGGTTCTCGACATCAATGTCCTCGGCGCAGTCTTCCATCAAGAGCTTCTCGACGATGCTGAGGTCGTTGTACGGCACGTCGTCCAGGTTGCTGCAGAGCGCGTCCAGGCGAGCTTCTAAGCGGCGCAAGACAGTCGTGGCGGGAAGCGGTGGCATGCTTTTGCGAGGTCAATTGGATTCTGACGCCAAAGGCTTGGAGATACCCCAACCACTCAGCCAATCCACGACAGGCACGCCAAGTCACGAGCCAATCAGACGCTGTCAGCTCACTCCGCGCCATGTGCTCTGATTGGTCCAATCCATTTCAACCATCATTCTTCGCCTTCACATCAAGACCCACCCATCGCTTTAAGCCGCAAAGCTGCATCACTACGGTACAGAAGTAGTTTTTATATATGTGAACGTATTCTGCATCATCTTCATTACATGTATCAAGACTTCGCATACGTTGTGCTACGCCTGATAAATGCGCAGAGTTGACACCAGCACTTGGTTGTTGGGAGTGAGCTGCGCACGGAGAGATCCATCCCGTGGTGGACCCCACTCGCCGAGGGATAGCTCACTCGAGGTCTACATGATCGATGCACACACTTGACATGTTGAAAGTTAGAAAAAAGATCAAAGGCTATTAGACTGCTGCGTACGGAGCCGGCGTCGCTTCTTGAGCAGCTGTCGGCGGCGTGGACGGGGTGTCGCGAGGCGCCGTGAAGCGGAACTGCACCACGAGACCGCCAAGGAATGCCAGCGCGAGCACAACGATTGTCACCGTGCCGTTAACGTCCATGTTGAACGAAGAGCCGTAGTGCTCAAACGTGCGGCCGTTTGCCCCCGTCAAGCCCTCAACGACCCCCGCGAGCAGCGACGCCCCCGAAAACACGGACGAGAGAATCAGCGCCGTGCGCGAGGTATGGCTGAGATACGCAACGGCGATCGTGACGACCGAAATGACGACCACGAGAAGCGCGTCGTACGTGTAGATGTTGGCGACGACTGCACCGGTGACCAAGAGCACGGCGAGTGCGACCGTGCCAAAGCGACCAACCACGTGAACGCGGGCGGCGACGACCGCAGCAATGATGCCGGCAGCCAGCGTAATGAGACCGCGCAGGGGCTGCGTAACGTCAGCGACGACAAGCAGGCACCAAAAAACGGCGAAGAAGAAGCTGGAGACGGCGCCCGTGAACACTTGGAGCTTGTAGCCGGCAAACGTCATAGGCAGCGCCAGCAAGAGCATGACGATTAAGAGGATGACGGTGATGGTGTCGAGGGCCATGATGACGCTGGTGGTCGACTTGTTGGAGAGTGGGAAAGTTGGAAAATGATAGTACTGCATCCCCACGAGCCTTGGAGTCCATGCTTGGTGTCACACGTCACACGTGTCCACGGACACCGACAGACATCGTCTGTTTTGCTGATGGCGACAGGTGACCATCTGCGCTGGACAGCGTTATCAAAAGTGAGTAAAAATGGCTGCTTCGTGTCCACAAGGCATGTCGCGACTGGGGTTCCCACATTTTATTTTTAAAAAATGCACAACTTTGCGAATGTGGACGAGACATGGTTATCAGGTTCAAGGTCCTTTGGATTGTAGTCATGGATTGAAGGGAGCGTTGAAACATGCAATGGATTATAGAATAATTTCGTAGGGATCTCGCAAACCGTGAACTATTACCGTGTGGACACGGGGATTCGAAGCATGCGGGTTCTCGACATCAATGTCGTCGGCGCAGTCTTCCGTCAAGAGCTTCTCGACGATGCTGAGGTCGTTGTACGGCACGTCGTCCAGGGTGCTGCAGAGCGCGTCCAGGCGAGCTTCTAAGCGGCGCAAGACAGTCGTGGCGGCATACTTTTGCGAGGTCAATTGTGTGTCAATCTGACGCAAAAGGTTTGGAGATACCCAAACGACTCAGCCAATCCACGACGGGCACGCCACGCCACGAGCCAATCAGACGCTGTCAGCGCACTCCGCGCCATGTGCTCTGATTGGTCCAATCCAATACGACCATCATTCTTCGCCTTCACATCAAGTCCCACCCATCGCTTTGCAAAGCTCCATCACTACAGAAATATATGAACGTGTTCCGCGTTATCTTCATTACATAGACTTCGCATACGTAGTGCTACGTCTGAATGCGTTTGGAGTTGGCACCAGGACTTGGTCGTTGGGAGGGAGCTGCGTACGGAGAGATCCATCCCGATAGCGAGAATAATGTCGTGGCAATTGGAATGCCTGCAAAGAGCTTTGTTGTCTCGTTATCGGCGGTGCGTGGTCGACGCCCGCTGCATGTGGTGGTGACGAGCCCGACAAAGTAGACAAAGATCGAGGACCACGAGTCCGATCAAGACGACTGCAGCATACCGCCGACGCGCCTTAAACACGGAGCAGTACGAATCGCAGTGAATTGAACTACGATCCAGGCATCCACGTTGTCCGTTGTCACGAATCCACGTCGCGACCAGTGCTCCCGTGCGTAGCGTTTGTATCCACGATCCGTGCAAGAAGATACGTAGCGTTCGCATGGATCACGCACTTTGCGGTGATAATCGTGCGAGATTCTGTTTTATTACACTGCTTTGTGGAATCACTCGAGTCTCATCGATGGCCGATGCAGTCGTGGGAACCTTCTCACTGGCACCATGGTCGTATCGAGCGATGTGCCTCTTTCGACCAAAGATATTTTGTTTTTTTGCCTTGACATCAATTCGTATATTGTGGGATTCCCAATTTACGACGTTGCGAAATATCCCGTGGGCGGCACCCATTTCTCGGCCGGAAAGTCAAAAGCACACGCGCTGGGGACGTCCCAGAGCATCGCGACGAGCCACTCGAGCGCGTCGACGAGGCGCGGGCCCGGGCGGTTGAACATGTGGTTGCCGTTCACAAGGTACACGCGGCCTTCCCGCACGGCGCGGAGCTGCTTCCACCACGCATGATGGATCAGCGGCGCGAGCTCCCGCTTGGTCGCATCCATGTCGAGGCCGCAGGGTGCCACGACGATGATGTCAGGGTCCGACGCAATGAATTCGCTGGCTGGAATCGACCGCGACGGGTGCGCGCCGGTCTCGGGGCCGCACGTGGTCACGTTGAGCGGGTGGACCGCGCCAGCCATTTCGATGAGCTGGGGCGTCCAGTGGCCGCCGCAGAAGATCGGGTCGGTCCACTCGCAAAAGCCAATGCTCCGGCGGCGCATGCCCGGAAGGAGCTTGGCGGCGACGATCGCCCGAGCCACGTCGATGCGGCGCTGGAGGGCGGCGACGACGCGCTGCCCGGCGTCGTGAAAGCCGAGGGTGGTCGCGATGCGTCGGATGTCGGCGAGCACGTCGTTGACCGACATCGGGTTGGTATCGATCAAGACAGGTCGCGGGCTCATGCCGGCCGTGAGCTCGTCCACCATGCAGTAGTCGACCGAGCACACCTTGCAGAGCGACTGGGTCACGATGAAGTCGGGCGATAGCGACTGGAGAAGCTCGAGGCGCACCGAGTAGAGGCCGACGCCCGTTGAGAGCTGCGCGCGCACCTGCGCGTCGACTTCGGCGGACGTGGTAAACTTGATCTGGGAGGCCGTGAGCATGGGCACGCCGGCGACCAAGGCCTCGGGCCAGTCGCACTCGTGGGACCGCCCGACGAGCTGCGCATGCGGCGCGCCCGCCGGGTCGTCCTCGTCGAGCTGGCACAGGACGTAGTAGACGAGCTCCGTCGCCGACGGCAGCAGCGAGACGATGCGCAGCGGCGCCATCAAGCTTCGGGAATGGCCTTTGTGTTGCAATAAGATCGTCACATGTCTCCTTGGCACTGCGCTTTGCAGTCGGATATTGAGGGAACGGCGCCTTATATCGCTCGTACAAAGTTAATATTCCCGTCTGTCGCCGCCCGCTCGGCACGGTAATATCTATATATATGACGCTATGAAAACCGCTTGGAGGGAATGTCCTGTCGAGAATCTCCCTAAAAACAATGCACAACAGGCAAAACAGCAGCAATAACTCGCCAAAGCGCTTCGTTTCATTGGTGGTCAACCTACGGCTCTCTCTCCAAACACATTATTTCAACATTTTTTAAAGGAGTATCTCATGACCACTATACAAATACATCTTTTTTCATACGTAAATCAAGATAGCATTGTACCTCGGGTATAAAATTGCTGGCGACCACCGAGCTCGCTCGAATTTGGCTCAAAATCAAGATGGCCCTGTACCGCGCGGCCCAGAAGCATGTCAAGCTCATGGACATCGACGTCCTGAGCGAGAACGAAGAGAGCGACGTGCAGGTGGCCAGCGACCTCAGCGACGCCAGCGAGGACGACGAGGGCGAGGCTAGCGAGGATGAGGACGCCAGCGAGGAAGAGACTCCGGCGCACGAGACGCCGGCGGCGCGCCGTAGCCGCGTGCAGCAGCTCATCGCCGAGAGCAGCGACGACGAGTCAGACGATGAGGAGCCGGCGCCGCTGAAGAAGACAAAGAAGAGCGCGTTGGCCGACGACTCGGACTCGGACGCGGAAGCCGGCGAGGAAGAGCGGCCGTCGTTTCTGGATGACTTCGTCCCGACGACGTTTGAGAATGGTGCGAACGGCTTTCGCTGCAAGAAGTGCCCCAAGATCCAGCTCCAGAACGAGAAGGACGTCGTGAGCCACCTCCAATCCAAGAAGCACCAGCGCAACGCGATCACGCCCGAGGAAATCGAGAAGCGGCGCGCGGCCAACAAGCGCAAGCAGCTCAAGCGCAAGCTCAAGCGCGAAGCCGCGGGCGAAGACGGTGCGTCCAAGAAGAAGAAGAAGAAGATGGAAGCGGCGGCCAAGAAGGCGGAGGCGGAGGCCAAGGCCCCGAAGAAGCCGACGACAGACGACGCCAAGACGGCCGCTGCCAAGAAGGCTCCTACCAAGAAGGTTCCTACCAAGAAGGTTCCTACTGAGAAGGCTCCTGCGAAGAAGAAGACCCCGAAAGCGTAAATAAGAACTCATAGATCTACGTTCCCGGGTACATTCAGACAATATTCGCGTGCGCATCCATCGCCACAGAGCACTAAAGGTGAGGAGGTTAGACGTGGTAGTAGTACAATCAAGAACATAAATGCAGTACGGATTAGGTCATCGAAAAGACCATGTGCTCCGCCGGCCACGCGACGTGTGGACTATCAGTGTATCAAGTGGCTCACTTGATGGTGACCGAGGTGTTTTTGAGGATCTTGATGTTGTACACGAGGCTCGTCACGTCGTTCAGCATCGGGTCCAAGAGGTGGACGTTGCGGTCGCCGTCCTGGACGACCAAGTACGAGGTGTCGCGGAGGTCGTCGTTGCCAATGCCTTTGGCGTGGTCGTGGATAACCTCGTCCTGCTGCTTCGAGTGCATCGTGGTCTTGGCGATGCGCTTGTTGCGCATCTCCTTCTCGGGCAAGCCAAAGCACGTCAAGTGGCTCATGAAGAACCACTGGAGCGTACTGAGGCGGCGCGCGCGGCAGACGAGGACGGCACCGCCGTTCTTGCCTTCGGCGTCCACTTCGATCCCGTCGAGGTAGTCGCAGACAATCGACGACGAATTGTACATCGCTTGGCGCGCGAGCGAGTGCTTCCGCAGGAGCTTCCAGTGCTTGAAGTTCCAGAGGTGGTCGAGCGCTGTAATAACCGCGAGGTTGGCAAGCATCCCGAGCACGATCGAGCCCCCGACGCGAAAGTAAAAGCCTTCAAAGACGTCGACGCGGAGGCCGTCGAGCTTCTCGACCGAGTTTTTCAGCGCGACCGACGTGTTGTTGTTGTACTCGATGAACGGCGGGACGTAAATGAGCAAGACAGCACTGAGGTAGAGCGACATGACGCTGCTCAAATTGAGGTAGCCCATGAAGGTGCTCTGGCCGTTGAACGAGACGGTGCCGAGGAGGTTCCAGAGGATCTTGCAAACCTTGAGCACGGCGCAGTTGACCCACAGAAGACGCATGCTGCAGCAAAACATCTGCAGCGAAAAGAGAAACTGCGGGCTGAGGTTGTTGAAGAGGTTGACGTTGCGCATAAAGATAAAGCAGTTTTGAATGTCGAGAATGACACTCAGCGCGTAGCTAAACACGAAAATGTCCGAGTTGTAGCAAAACATGTCGTAGCGGAGCGCGTGGGACGCGTGGGGAAAGTACTTGGGCATGATGGTCCGCAAGACGCGCGAGATGAACGAGTCCGACTTGGTCATGTCCACCTCCATCCACTGGACTGTCCGGCGGCTCGCGAGGTACCCGCCGACGCCAAAGAAGATGCCCGTCAGCTTCACATAGAGCGCGATGGTGCCGAACGCGCTGTTGGTCATCATGAGCCCGAGCTGGTAGACCGACCCGTCTGCAAAGGTGCTTTTGGCGATAACCACCTTTTCTCGGTCGCATTGTAGCTGTACGTGACGTTGCAGACACCGTACCCGAGCTCCGCGACCGGGTCGCAGCCCGAGCAAAAGTTGCGCGGGAAGATGCGGTAGTACTTCATCTCAAAGCTCTGCGGCGTCGAACTCGCGTTCAGCAAGAGCTTGGTCGTGAAGCGCATGTCGACAGCCGACCGCCCCGGGAGGTACCCACGCTCCATCAACGCGTCGCTGCTCATCGACGCATTGCCGAGGTTGGCCGTCTCGTCGTCCGAGAAGGCGTGCGAGATCGCGTTCCCGCGGTAGAACGTTATCGTATCTTGGACCAACGCGAGGCGCACGTTAGTTGCGACGGCCAAGTCGACGGCGTACTCGCCTTGAAAGATCGGACACAGGTTCGTCTCTGGCGTCAGCGGAAACGACCCGGCCGAGACGACGTAGACACGGTCGCTCTTGGTCACGAGGTTGGTCACCGTGTAGTTGGCCATGCGCGTGCCGGCGTTGGACATGGAGCCAAGCGACGCGCCTTGTAGAAAGGTATACTGGTCGTTCAGGCCCTCGAGCGTGTCACTGGCCACGAGCGGCGTCGTGAAGAAGAGCCCGTTGCCGAGGAAGTGGTTGATCGCCCAGTTGTTGACGATCGAGTCGGCGGCGATGAGGATGATGACGAGCAGGCCCGCAACCGAGATGCTGTGGTCGTACAGGCGCGTCGCCCGCGCCGTCCAGACCGGCGGCACCGCGCCCACGAGGTACGCGGCCGCAGGCATTTTGCTTCTTCACCCTGCAATGCGCCCAACTTTTGAACCCACCGAAACCGGCCTTTCCCAAGCGTCGCCCTCAAAATAGGGCGTAACCGCCATCGCATCCTAGAGTTGAAGAGGAAAGGTCCTCGACTTGAAGTGGCACATTGTATATTCACAGCGAAATACAATCGACTTGTTAGATGGCGCCGTAGCTCGTCGGCGTCGGCTCGTCCGTCTTCTTCTTCTTGGTGGCCTTGACCTTGGGCTTGTCGGCGGCCGGCGCCGGTTGGAGCGCCGTCACCTCGTTCGCGACTTCGTTCCCGAGGAGCTTGTGGACCTCGAGACCGGACGTGAACGCCGAGTTGAACATGACGCGCTGCTGGAAGGCCGCGAGGAACGGCATGAACATCGAGATGAAGAGGATCGGGCCAAAGACGATCCAGCCAATGACGACGTCAAAGCCCTTGGCGATGTTGACCATGATGACGTGGTGCTGCTTGAGGCGGCAGATCGTGTACTGGAGGAACCAGTAGAGCACGAGCGCGAGGATAACGATGACCTCGGCGAGGTGCGTCACGGACAAGTACATGAGCGACCCAATCAAGAGCACGAAACCGAGTGCCGAGAGGTTGAACTTGATCTTGCGGAGCTTGCGCTGCTTCATCGTCATCTTCTTGGTCACGCGGCTCGCGACGTACGCGACGCACGCAAAGAGAATCAAGAAGACGACGCTGGCGCCTGCGAGGATGTACGGAAGCATCGGGTTGCCCTGCGCGACCGTCGTGTGCTGATCCTTGTAGAAGAGGCGGTACATGAGCTGGAGGTACAAGCCAAAGGCCACGAGGAGGAAGCGCGTCTTGCGCACAAACATGACAAAGCGCGAGAACGCCGTCGAGTGCTCGAGGTACTCGAGCTCGGCCGACCACCAGCCAAACCACGACTCGGTCGAATCGTTCTTGGTCTGGAGCCAGTTTTGCCAGTCGCGGTAGCCGGCAATGACAAAGTCCCAATCGAACGCGCTCGGGTTGAAGATGAACGGCGACCAGACCCACGTGGCCGCAATGAGCCAGAGCGAGTAGCTCATGACGCCATAGTTCTGGTTGGTCGGGAGCACGCACTGCTGGTACCAGTTGGCGTAGCAGCGCGCCTGCCACTCGTATGGGAGCGGCTCGACGCCGTTGTAAAACGTAATGTCCTGCTGCCACGAGCAGTTGCACCAGTTGAACGTGCCGTAGATCGCAAAGAGCACGAGCAAGAACATTAGCTCGACGCCGCGGTAAAAGTGGCTAAACGCGTAGAACCGGAAGAGCTCGGCGAACTTTTCGTGCTTGATCGTAAAGCCACGACCGGTCGCGCGGTACTTGGCGCCGCCGTGGATGAGCGTCCGGTCAAAGTAGTGCATGCGGTTGCCCATCTGGAACGTGAAGAAGAGCGGGCCGAGCGTCATGACGTTCCAGAAGAGGAACGTGACACCGTGGCGGAAGCCGCGCTCGACACCGACGACACCGATGACGGGCACGACCAAGAGGAAGCCAAACTGCAGCGCCCACGACGTGTTGAGGACGCCCGAGATACCCATGCGGCCGAGCTGGAGGTAGAACGCGTCCATGCCAGACAAGGCAAAGTAGATCTTGCCGTAAATGAAGAAGTAGACGCCAAAGACCGTCATCGTCTGCGTAAAGTACCAGCCGAGGTTGCCGTAGAACCACGAGTTGAGGCGGAAGAAGTCGAGGCGGTTGGCCATGCGCATGACGTCGCGCGACGTGACGCACTCGCCAGCACCCGACGAGAGCTTGGCCTCAAAGAGCGCGAGCTGCTGCATGCCGACATCACGACCCTTGCCGACCTGGATGAACTCTTCGTGCGAGACGCGGCCACCGCGGAGCGTCGAGTTGAAGCCGGCAAAGATATCTTCCGAGAGGTTGATACCACGCGACGCCTTGGCCGTGCCGCCCGTGCCCATGGCAAACATCTTGTCAAAGATATCCGGGTGCCCGTAATGCTGGCGGACGTAGTTGTACGCGAGCATGCGCTGGCCGAGCGAGACGAACGAGAGCTCCTGGATCTGCATGAACGACGCGAGGTTCGAGACCGCGCCCGTAAACACGTACTCGCGGAAGCCAATGATCGTGAGCGGCGAGTTCTTGTGCTCCGGTCGGTCGACGGTCGCGAGGAGGTTGGGCATCTTGAGGCACTCTTCAAAGTACCCGTCCTGGTTCATGTCGACGCACTGGATGAGCTCGCCGCGCGAGAAGACGACGGCGTGGTTCTGGTTCTCCGGTTTGCCTTCGCCAATGATCGGATCGCCGGGCAGCTCGATGCGGTAGACTTCCGTGACCTTCTCCTCGTCCTTGCTGGCGCGCACCAGGCACGAAAAGTACTTGGGCGGGCCTTCCTTCATCTTCTTGGGCCCGTCGACGTACGCGACGCGGAGCGACGGGTGCTTCTTGAGGAGGTAGTCGATGTCCTTGGCCTGCTGCTTGTCCTCTTCCTTCTGCTTGCCGTAGATCTGGCACGTCACGACGTAGTTGAACTTGAGCGCGACCATCTCGTCGAGCTCCTTGTTGAGCTCTTCGGACGCCTTGTGGTGGCCGAGCTCGAGCCAGTAAAGGAACCGAATCGCCTCCTCGTTGTACATCATGCCGCGGATCGTGCGCGCAAGCGTCTGGCCGCGGTACGACGCCCAGAGCTGGACTTCCTCCGGGCTCTTGGCGATCGCATCCTTCTCGTTCGAGACGCCGAGACGCTCCAAAAAGTGCTCCCACTCGTCGCGGTAGACGGTCTGCAGGTAGTAGAGCAGCTTGGTCTCGCCGCCCTTGCCCTCCGTCACGAGGAGGTCCTTCATCGAGTACAAGACGATCTCCGAGTAGTACGGCGTCGCGACCGAGAGCGAGTGCATCTTCTTGATCGACTGCGCGTCCGGCATCTCCATGAAGAGCGAGTTGGAGAAGAAGCGGAGGCGGCGCTGGCCCTCTTCCGAGCGCGGCTCCGCGTCAACGTTGTCGACCGTCAGCAGCTGGTACGCGCGCGAGACGATCGCCATCGTCTGCTTGTCGCCAATGAGCGCGTTGAGCTGGTTGGTCGCATACTCGTGCGTCGGGTCGGCCGCAATGAAGAACGAGTTGGGCTTGAGCGGCGTGTCGTTGAGCACCTTGGCGAGCGCCTCCTGCTTCGAGAGCACCTTCTTGAGCTGCACGAGGAGCTGCTCGACAGCGTCGATGACGCGGTACAAGGCGCGCTGGAACGTGAGCGAGTCGCTCTTGGCGGCCTTGGGCGCATCCACGATCGCCTTCATGGCCACGCTCGCGGCGGTGCGGAGCGCGTGCAGGCCCGAGACGTTGAGACCCTTGAGGATCGCGTGCGTGTGGACCGCCTCCTCGATAAAGTCGTAGCACGGCTCCATGTCGGCATGCGCGTCGCCGAGCAGCACCTTGAGGACGCGGACCGTAAACTTGTACGAGCCGAGGCAAGCTTCGATACGCAGATCGTCCTTCTTGAGGCGCTCGCGCATCGCGGCTTCGACCTTGTCGAGCGCCGACTCCTTCTTCTTGTCGCTCTTGAGCTTGTCGTAGATGGCCGCGCAGTCGGAGATGATGTCGAGGGACTCGTCGAGCTTGCCGGCCGTGAGGAACGCCGGCGGGTACAAGCGGGCTTCGTCCGTGTCGTGGCCGTCAATGAGGTAGCTCAAGACGTTGAGCTCGCGGTTGTTGATGACGTCTGCCTCGCGCATCGAGCTCAGGCAGCGGTTCCACGCCATCGCGAACGGGTAGACGCGCTCAAACTCTTTGCCGTCAATGCCCGAGACGTGCCCAAACGACTTGTGCATCGAGATATTGGTGAGCGCGCTCCCGCCTTGGTACAGCTGCGCCTTGATCTCGAGCGCGTGCTCTTCTGCGGCCTCCTTCTCCTTGGCCGACACCTTCTTCTTCTTCTCTTCCATCTTGGCTTTCGAGGCCTCGACCTCGGCCTCGTTGGGCACGAGCTTCTTGTTGAACATCTTGGGAATCGACTTGAACGCTTGGCGCAGAATGCGGAAGGACCGCAGCTCGCCAATGCGGAGGTTGAAGCCGCGGATCGAGCCAAAGACGACCGAGAACATGGCGTAAAAGATCTGGCAGTCGTAGAAGAAGACGATGACCGCGGGCAGCCAGAGGAAGACGATGTAGATGATGTTGTGGTAGCTCTTCTGCACCATAAAGTGCGACACTTGGAGGTACTGCGTCGGGTCCGAGAGCCAAATCATGAGCGACGTCTCCACGAGGTTCTTGACCATAAAGTTGTAGTCGAAGAGGAGCTTGACCGTGAACATGAAGAGCCAGAAGCAGCTGTAGCGGCACCACGCCGACCACGGGACCGGCAGGTTCCGGCCCACGTACCCGATGAAGAGGCCCGAGAAGAGACGGTTGACCATCTCGCCCGCGACAAACAAGGCAAAGACCGCGGCGCCACCGAGGAAGACGAGCGGCCCCATGTCGGCGCGGCTGAAGTCGACGAGCCCGATCAAGAACGCCGGCAGCTTGGTCGGCATGTCCGCCGCCGGGAACGTGCACGTAGCGCAGTTGAGCTTGCCGTTGCCCGCGTTGTTGATGACGTCGAGCGCGGCCTTGTAGTACGCTGGCATGCACGTCGCCTGGTTGTACTTGATGCTTGAAATCGCGCCCGGGTCCGAGAGGTCGTAGACAACCGACGTGCCCTTCTGCGAGAAGCAGTCCTTGAGCGTCTCGAGGTAGCAGCTGCAGCGACCGCCGAGGAGCTCGAGGCACGGCTGGAACGGGATGTCGGCCATGAGCATCTTCATGTCCTCTGGGAGGTACTGGAACGTGGTGTACGGTACGTAGTTGGACACGCCGAGGCACGTCGCGAGCTTGGGGAGGTTGCACGTCTCGACCTCAAAGTCGTCGTTCATGTTGTACGAGAGGCGCGGCTTGTAGTAGAGCTTCCCGAGGATCGTGGCTTCCTTCCCGAGGTCCGGGCCGTACATGATGGGCGACTCGGGGCAGTAGAGCGTCACGTTGACCGCAAAGCCGACCGTCGCGATGAAGAGGCAGAGGTTGAAGAGGAAGATGCGCCGGAACGACCAGAGCGCGCGGACCCACGACCGCGTCTCGATGAACGTCTTGGGCACGTCTTGCGGCTGCCCCTTCTTGTTGACGACCCGAGCGCCGTCGCGATGTTGGTCGCGTCAAACTTGAGGCACTTGGTCGTCCAGAAGAACTCGTTAAAGTCGTCGTAGTTGCGGATCTCCTTGTGGGGCGCGCGCTGCCCGAGCGGCGTCTTCTTGTCGTTGTCCTTCTTGACCTCGGCGTAGATCGGGCGGATGATCGTCGCGAGGTACGTGCCAGGCTCCTTGGGCGACGAGTTGGGCGTCGCGGTCGGGAGGAGCGAGTGGAAGAGGAAGCAGAGCAGCTCCGGCGTCTGCCGGAAGTTGCCAGCCTCGCCCACATGAGAAAGAAGAGCACGATGTCCACTAGCGGTTCCTTGGAGAACGCCGGCGTCTGCTTGAGGTACTTGCACCACTTGCCATAGTTGTCGAAGAGGCGCATGTGCAGCTTCTCGATCGCGAGCTTGGTGGCCTCGGCCGCGTCCGCGGGCAAGAGCGGCGCCACGATCTCGGTCTTCTTGCTCTTCTTGGACGACTCGAGCGGCGTCGCGAGCGGCGTCTCGAGCTGCTCCTTGTAGTTGGTCAGAAGCAACGTCACGTGCTCGCGCTGGTTCTTGACGTTGTTCTCCTGGAAGCCAAAGATGTTCTTGAGCGACTCGAAGACATCGCCATGCGTCGGCGACGTCGTGAGCGCGTTCGTCACGGGCGCATACCGCGCCGGGAGGTTCTCGAGGTCGAGAATGTTGTAGCGCGCAGTGGCGCCCTTCCCATCGCCCTTGCCGCGCTGGCTCTTGATCATCGTCACGTACCGACCCATCTTGTTGGCCAAGCGCTTGCTCGCTTCCTTCTCTTCGTGCGAGAAGTCCATCGCGAGCGCCCGCTCCATGACCTCGATGGCCGTCGCGAACTCCTTCTCCGCGGCCGCCTTGTCCTCGCCGCTCTGGGCGGCGACGCCCGCGTTCACATGCAGCATGGCCTCGTCGTAGAGCTCCTTCTGCGTCTCGAGCGCAGGACTCATGGAGCTCATCTTCACTTGCCCGCTCGACGTGAAATTCCAAAGTGGATCCCAACCCCATCAGGAGGCGCCGGATACCACGTATCCGGACGAGCCCCAGGTTGAACTTTCAACACGACTTGGTGTTTGTATGGAGCGGGGTGGGGGGCCCTCACATGACGACCCGCCCAGCCCGATCTGCGATGGCTTCCTCGGCCGTCCCTCCGCCTGCGCGAGCAGGATCGGCATGCAGAGTACCTAGTCCGAGTACTGTAGCCACGCAGATATTAGCCACACTCTAGTTGGTTGCGGAGGCGATGTGCGGCAAGACAGCCAACGCAGTCGTGGTCGTCTGGCGCTGAATCTCGCAGCCAGACGACTCCTGGCACAGTCTGCGAAGTGCGGCGAGGATCCCACTCTGGTTGGCAAAGCCTCATGGCCACCAGATAGTACGGTACGGAGCAAGCAGATCTGGGCAACTGCACCGTTGATGCATCACAACGACGGCGAGAGGACTGCACGCAAGCCTCCATCCTCTGCAAGCGAGTAGCTCGTCTGCTCCGAGAGGCACCGATCCACTACGACCACGTCTGTGCTGATCGCACGAGGAGATATCGAGTCGTCGGGAGTACCAGATGTATTAAACTGAGCCAATCGAGGCGTGTCAGGGCAGGGTGGGGGGTCCAAAACAAAGCTGTGAGAGGTGATAGCCACAGAATATCACTCGCTCGCATATCTAGGCGCCCAAGTCGACGCATTTCGCAGCGAGGCCGCAGTTGCCGCGACGGACGACGACAATCGGAGTGACCATCCGCTTTGACGATTAAGAGCTTATTAGTCTTAGTGTGATCCAGAGCCTGAGGCGATCCAGAGCTTAGTGCGCCTTGCGTCCTGCGCCTCGCTTGATGCAGCGCTTGTCCATGCGACCACCCCTAGGCGGCTCGTGGCTGCGCGCGCTGTAGACACGTTGCTGCTAGAAGAGGTGGTGCTGCTCGGGGTGTCCCGGTATGGCGTGCTGAGGCAGCCGTCCTAGAGCATTTGACCAGCTGCCAAACTTCTGCGTCGCGAGGTCCGACGCGCCATCAAGCGCGGTGAGTTGCGCGATGAACCTCCTAACCTCCCAATCATGCGGTCGCCGCTTGTCGGAGCACGATCGTCATGTCTGCCGTGCAGATCGTCCCTGAGCATCGGTCTCTCATCCAGCGAGCAGATGAGGTCGTCCTTGCGTGCCCGGGTTGCGGTGCTTCACCACGATGCTAGCGCAGGCCGCCGACTTGAGCCAACGTCCGCGTCGACTTGAGCCAACGTCCGCGTCCTCAGCCCTTTGCGTCAAGAGCGACGCCTGCTCGGGCACGAGACGGCGCGCTGCCATGCACGCGCATCGCCGTAACATGAATGCGAGGCTGGAAGACTGACGATCGAGCGCTCGACCCAGACACGACGAGAGAGGCGTCGACATAAGTAGTTATCGCAAAACGTAAGTTCGTGTTTACGGTTGCAGTCGTGCTCTCCTTCCTGCTTTGCGTGCGGCCGTGGCTACACCCAACCCATTCGATCGTCGCCAAACTCAATTTACATGAGGTCGACGAAGGGCTGGGGCGCGAGCGTCGTGGGGATCACACCCTTGGTCTTCAAGGTGTAGGCGGCCTTGGGCTGAGCCGGCAGGCGCTTGATCTGGAGGCGGACACCCGTGACGCGGGCCTCCTTCTTCTTGATTTCGTTGGCCTTGACGCGGTCGAGGAAATCCTGGCGGCACTTGGACGCATGCACGTGCTCCACGCGCACGTTGATGTGCTTGTGGATGATGCGGTTGCCGACCACCTTGTTGACGCGGACGCCGACGGCGCGCTTGGTCACGTTGTACACGCGGCCGGTGCGGCCGTGGTAGAACTTGTGGGGCATGCCCTTGTGGACCGCGCCGTTGGCCTTGACATCGACGTAGTCGCCGACCTTGAACGTGCGAAGGTACGTCGACATCTTGATCATACCGCGCTGGCGGAACGAGCGGGCGAACATGTGGCGCGTGCGCGCGCGGGTACCAAAGGAGTGGGGCATCTTACTACACACATAGCACACAGCTCAGCATCTCCATCCTCGCATCTCCTGCCCATGACGTCGTCTACCTGAAGCAAAGAAGGTTTTACGAAAGTAAATGACCCCACCGGCCCCAGCCCGGATTCGCTCCAATTGATTGGTCACCAATACTTGGACCGCGGACCACCAACAATAGGACGGCGCCGGATACGCCGATTTGTACGGATACCTCGCCACGTGATTGGCTCGCCCACAATGCAGAATATAGTGTGATCACTGCGCCGCGACATCACGGCCCCGTCACTGCGTTCAGCGGGCTGCTGCCAGCGACAGCTCATTGCCTCTGCTCGACAGCGTCGATTGCATGTGCGCGCAGGCCACTGGCAGCTCCCTGTGCCAAGAAAACGATTAGAGTGGGTACATCATAACACTATTTCATGTATATTGGTCTCGATGTAATATTTTGACTATTTTTTAGCGGCGCAGAACCTAGAAGGAAGCCCACACGTCGTCTGCGAAGGCACGCTCGCAGCAACGACCCATCGGGTGTGTATAAAGGTATAGTATGCGTGCTTGCACTACGTTGACGCTCGATGCTGTCGTCAAGGCCCGCCGAAGCTGATTGAATGTCTTGGTTTTTGTATGTGGGTATAAAATGGACCTCGTGTTCTTGTATCAAGGTCTGGCGCTTGTATAAGATGGACCTCTCGAATATAATACGCGGTGTATGCAGTGTGACAGGTTTGGACCGAGGGTTCGGGACTCGGATCCCGCGGTCGAGCAGCAGCAGCAGCATGGAGGAAGAGTACGACGAAGAGTTCGGCGACGACGTCCTGCCCACGGCTGCGCCGGCGGCTCGCCCCGAGGCGACGGCCATCGTCGTCGATGAGGAAGAGGAGGAAGACGACGAGCCGCTGTATGGGACAGTGACCGTCACGGACGCCGCTGCTGGCGGCGCCGAGGCTTCTACCGCCCAAGACGACGGCGACGATGACGAAGACGATGAGGAAGAGGACGAAGGTATCGCAATCGTGCTCAAGGAGACGGAAGAGTCGCCGTCCAAGTCGAGCAAGCTCCGCTTCGTGCGCGGTGGCAACCAGTACGTGCGCGACGAGCACCCGCTGAGCACACCGCCGCTGCAGCCGCGCAACCCTGGCGACGTACGTCCTTCCGCCCAAGCATGTGTGGCTTATGATGCATAGCAATACGAGCCGACGTTCGAGGAGCTCTCGCTGCTCGGCATCGGCGGTCGGCGCACGGCCTTTGACGTCGACATTGACCAGCTCGAGGAGAAGCCGTGGCGCAAGCCAGGGGTCGATATCTCCGACTACTTCAACTACGGCTTTGACGAAGCGTCGTGGCGCGTACGCATCCTCATGGCTGTCGCCGCGTGCCTAAGATCCGCGTGCTAGGACTACTGCGCCAAGCAACTGCAGAAGCGGCGCGAGCTCGCGTACCAAAAGACGCAAGAAAAGGAAGCCGAAGAGAAGGAGAAGGCAGCGGCGGCGCTCAAGGCCGCGTCGGCGATGTCGGACCCCGGCTTCCGCATGATGGGCGGTCCGCGCGGCCCCATGTACCCGCCCCGGGGCCCGCCGCCGCCGTGGCACCAGCCGCCGCCGTGGCACATGCGTGCCCCGCCGACACATCCTGGCACCTCGTCCGACGACCGCAAAGACGGCTTCAAGTCGGGCTCCTCTGCCCGCAACGAAAAGTCATCCCGCAGCGACTCGCGGGTCGGTCGCGATCGCGCGGTAGGTGTCTTCTGTCTCCTCGTGCGAATTCCTGACGAGATAGGACAGACCGTGACCGCTACGACGACAAGCGTCGGGACGATGACAAGCGTCGGGACGATGACAAGCGGCGCGATGATGACAAGCGGCGTGGCGACAGCCGTAGCTCGCGCAGCAGCCGTCGGTCGAGATCGCGGTCGCGGTCCCGTGACCGTAGCAAGCGGGACCGATCGCGCTCCCGAGACCGCAGCAAGCGCAGCTCGAGCAGCCGCGATTACGACCGCCGACGATAAACCTATGGACATGATACACGTATGGCAGGTTGTACGAGGATGGCTGGTGCATGGGAGTGGTGTCGGAAGGACCGATTTTGTAGCTCGTTGGCGGGCGAGGCGTAGAATACAAACGAGCCGAGGGCGCTATCAGCCTCCTTGGACTTGGTATTCGGGGCCCGTCTCTGGCGTCTGGTGGCCACCACGTGGCGAATCCCACTCTGACTGAGTCATTCGTCGCCGCTTCACACTGTCAGTTCAGCTGTCAGTTGACTTCTTCTCGAGCATCGCATGCGCCCGCTGCTACTCTGCCAGTCGCCCGACTGCCGCCGGTACGCCAAGGTGCGTCATCTCTGCCTCGCACACGCCGGAGTGACCGCTGCCGAGAACTATGTCGACCCGACGATCCGCCGCATGAACCGCCGACGCAAGTGCCGCGTCGACACCTGCTGGAGCTACGCGCGCCTCCTCGGCCTCTGCACGCACCACGGCGGCGCCCGCACATGCCACGCGCCCAAATGCAACACGGCGTCGCAGGCCGGCGGCTTTTGCCGGACGCACGGCGGCGGCGTCAAGTGCCGGGTGCCCGGCTGCTCGGACTTTGGCCGCCTGCGCGGTCTCTGCTTCGCCCACCAGCCACGACCATCGCCTACTTGACGCACTAGAAGACGATATACATGTCTCTCAGATGATTCGATTCGTCTTATTCGAGCTTGGTCGCTGGGTACGGCACGCGGCTCCAGACGTCTTCAAACCACCCGCTGTCGTCCTCATGAAGTGCAGGTGTGCTTGCTGGCGGAGCAGGCTCTTGGCGGTGGTGGGCGCAGTAGCCGGCATGGCGGGCGTAGAGCAGACAGCCCTCCGCGCGGCAGCGCCGGACGCCGCTGTGGGGCAAGCACTTGTTCTTGGCGTGCGCGCGCTTCTCGCAGCCGTCGACGGCGCAGACTCGAAGCGGCAAGACGGACGCGGCGTGGTGAAAGCACAGGTTCTGGTTCCGAGCGTAGCTCTCGCAGCCGTCGACGCGACAGCGCCGCTTGCCGCCGTGCCGCACGCAGCGCATCCGCGCGTACACTTGGTTGGTGCAGCCGGGCGACCCGACGCACACGGCGCGGTGGCGATGGAAGGTGCACTTGGTGCGGCCGGTCGGCGCCGGGTTGGCGCAAAAGAGGCATGCAGCGGCCATGGATATGTTGGGCTGGTGGTGGGCGCGAATGACTCAGCAGGGCGCAGTGAGTCACCGGGTGAGTCACCACGCCAGCTGTCTAGTGGCCGCATTGCTCGTGCTCCTCCGTGTTCGTTGCGGCTATCCGACGCCAACATTCCTCTCTTCGGATGAACCATGAAGAGGAAGCAACCACCAACTACGTACCGCATTTCTTCTCGCCTCGTCCATGCAGCGTCTCGATACACTTGGCCGTCGTTTGTGCAGCACGGTAGCTTCAAGTCCAGGCATGTCCTAATTTGAAACCAGGATGTCGATCCAAACACGCGCGATTACACATGCCACGGACCAGACGCGGTCTTTTGGGAGGATTGCCGCTAGCCAGTTGACGGGATGCACCGTACTCGCCACGTAACGCTATCGATGACCACCGGACCACTTACGCTTACTAAAAGAGAAGACTAGAAAGCGATTCGATGCGGTGCACGACGCTGGCGGGATGAAGCAGAAGACGATTGCAACACGTGCGTCGTCGTTGTCGCCGAGACACCTCAAGCTTTTCGCTCGTTGAAGCTCAAGAAGGCACCTGACCGCTGACTTTGCCGTTGGACTTTGCACTTGCAGTAGGAGCCAGCTTGAATACCTTCTTTCGCGTGCCGCTGGACGGGCCACGTCGCTGTCGCCGCCTGTCGCGCACTCGTGTCTCGGCGCAGCAAGACGATTCAGCGGTAGCTCCAGGGGCCTCATTCTCGGTATACGGCTCGAGTGACAAGAGACCCTTCCACGCCGGCAGTCTGCGTATCGGAGCGATGATGGATGATTAGGGAGCTCAATTGTATTAGTAGATAGTAGTAGATAGAGAGAAAAGATGGGGTCGCGCCTCGTGCGCAATGCAATGGTATAAGGGTGTACGCCGTCAAAGGCGTGTGTATGTGACGACATTTTCAAGGCCGGCGTGGCGGCGTCTTGAGGTCCCGAAGGTCAACGGCGGGCATGTGCACGGACTCGGACCGCGTCACGTGCAGGACGTGGAAGCTTGTCTCGTCGATCGCGCAGTCGTCCAAGAGACTGCTTAGGATCTGCGACTCGACCTCGGCGAGCGGCGCGTCGTGGCGCAGTGCGACGTCGACAACGTTCCACGCCGTCGGCTCGATGTGCTGCGCCTTGTAGCGGTAGTGGGTCCCGCAGTAGCCCTGCAGCCGCGCCTTGAGGAGGCAGCGGGGAAAGTGGCAGAGCGCCGTGTCGCCGTGGCGGCTGCACTTGCGGCGCTCGCTCACGATCTTGTCGCAGCCAGGCTCGGAGCAGAGCCGATGGCGCGCGCCGCCGTGGCGGTGGCACATGTCGTTGCGGCGCGCGTTGCCGGTGCACCCATGGTACAAGCACGGCTTCTTGCCGCCGTGCCGCACGCAGCGCCCGCGCGCGTACACCTGGTTGTAGCAGAGCGGGTCGCCTTGGCACTTGGCGCGGTGCTTGTGCTTCTCGCACTTGTGGCTCGTGGCGTCGGTGGGCGGGAGGTCGCACCCGAGAACGAAGCAGCGCGACATGGCAAGCGATTTATCAAAACTGGGGATGGCATCCGACCGTCAAATGCACCGTGGGACGACGGCGCCAAGCGACACTCATTGGTTATAGGCGACAGGCGCCACACCAAACCAACCCAACGAGTACGTACTATTGGAAGACCGGCGTAACGCGATGCTAATACGTAGGTGCGAAGACAAGGGCGCTCTCTCTTTCTATGGCACACGCTAGGTTCGTCGCCGCGTTGGCAACGGCAAGGAGGCAAGTGGTATGCGTCGCTCGTCTGTTTTGCGGGAACGTTCGGCTTGTACCTGGCGCGCACTCACGGGGTATGAGCGTCCAACGCGCAAAAACAGGACCTGTGGATGGTCTACTCCAACCAGCGCGTGTAATGACATGTCCTAATTAGGTCGCCGCGGTGGAATGAAACCGTTGGGCCGTTTCGTGTGGAGAGCATCGTATTGTCTTCAACTCTGTGGACTGGAGGTCGCACTGCCGACTATACGATCGAACCTGGTATCTATCGTTGGTGCTTTGTAAACGTTGCAGAGTCGGACGGGTGGAGGGCACTGGGTGGAGGGTGTCGCCACGTATTACGTGGCACTCCCACGGCCCCGTAAGCAACGAAGGGTCGCGCCACCACGTTTCTCTACTACAATCCAGCTAACAAGAACTAAGAACCTTGATAGCGTTGAGCTCGAGTATATACATATATACTTCAGGATGCAGGCATTGGCGGTGTCTCTGTACACAGAACTGTCCGCTGGACGGCGCATCTGAGTTGCAGTCACGATGGAGGCGACGAGAAATATCGCGACCGATGGCGTCTCACGTCATGTCTGGCGCTGCTGTCTCTACGCCCGTCCTCCTTGTCAGTAGTAGTAGTAGTATATAAGTATCGCAACTCGGCGGCTCCAACAGTACTCGCCGCTAACACGATTTCGCGTCCGACGTACACTATTTCCGTGCTAACCCGCCGAACCACCGATGAAGGTCGTGGCGCTCGTGAGCGGAGGCAAGGACAGCATCTACTCGCTCCTCAAGTGCGTGCAGCATGGCCACGAGATCGTCTGCCTCGCGACGCTGCAGCCGCCATCCGTCAACGCCGAAGTCGACTCGTTCATGTTCCAGTCCATTGGCACGCACGTGGTCGCGAGCATCGCCGCCTGCATGGAGCTGCCGCTGGTCATGCACACGCTGCGCGGGCAGTCGCTGGCCACCGACATGGGCTACGCGCCGACCGAAGGTGACGAAGTCGAAGACCTCTATGCGTTGCTCGCCGAGGTCCAGCGCCAGTTCCCCGACGTCGAGGCCGTCAACACGGGTGCGATCTTCTCCAACTACCAGCGCACGCGCGTCGAGAACGTGTACGCCTACGATCCTCGTCCGATGAACGCGACGAGCACCGACGTAGGTGCGCGCGTTTGGGGCTCACGTCCGTGGCGTACCTGTGGCGCAAGGAGCAGGACGAGCTCATGCAAGAGATGATCGACGCCGACTTGCACTGCATCGTCGTCAAGGTCGCGTCCATGGGTTCGCCTTCTTCTCCTCCTCCCCTTCGTGTGCCTCATGCGATGCGCGTGCTAGGGCTGCATCCGCGCAAGCACCTCGGCCGATCGATCGCCGACCTCTACCCGACCTTTCTCGACCTCGTACGCCTTCGCCTCGTTGCTGCCTCTCCTAACCTATCCTGTCCTGTCCTGTCCTAGCATGAAAAGTACCAGTTCCACATCTGCGGCGAAGGCGGCGAGTACGAGACCTTGACGCTCGACTGCCCGCTCTTCAAAAAGCGCATCGTCGTGTACGCAAACAATATTGTCTATCGTAGACTATCGCAAACGGCGTTTTAGTGACGCAGCGCGCATCGAGATCCACGCCGACGACATGTTTGCGCCCGTCGGTCTCTACTGCATCGACGCCCTGCACCTCGAAGACAAGACGGACGTACTGCCGCCGCCGCCACCGAGCGCGTCATCGCCGCACGCCGGTGACGCGCCGACAATGCTTGTGCCCCGCGCGCTGCGCCCGGCCGTGCCGCACGGACGCGCTCGCAGCCGTGTCTACCGCAACCAGATCATGGTCTCGGGCCTCGCGTGCGCCGACCAGACGCTGTCGCTGCCGGACCAAGTGCACGCGATCTTCGCGACGCTGCAAGGTAGGACGCGATGCACGCGACGCTTGAACGCTCGACCGATGTAGACGAGCTTGCTTTGCACGACGCGGGCTTGGGCAATGTGCTTTATGTGCACATTTACGTCCAGGACATGGCGCAGTTTGCGGCCTTGAACGCGGTCTACGGCGCGTACTTTCCAGGCCTCTTGCCGCCCTCGCGCAGCTGCGTGCAGGTCGATATGGCCGCCGCCGTCCAGCTCGACTGCCTCGCGCTCCGAGGCGCCGGTCTTTTTCCAAGCTTTTTTCATTTGTTCCGATATGTTTTGGACGGTAGGCGCGGACCCGCGGCAGCTGACTGCGACGCAGCGCGACGTCCTGTACATCCAGAGCCTCAGCGAGTGGGCGCCCATGTGCATTGGCCCGTACAGCCAAGCGACGACGGTGCGTCGTTTGCCTCCATATATTGGCTCGGTGCTGAGCTCGTCCTAGGTCGCGCGGAGTCTCGTGTGCTGCGCCGGCCAGATCCCGCTCGTGCCCGAGACCATGACGCTGCTGTCGTCGACGTCGCCGACCGCCAACCTCCACCTCGTACGACTTATCATCATTGACGCCAATCCGATCCGACGTGCTAGAGCTTCCGCAACGGCGTCCGGGTCCTCGAAGCGGTCGACTCGAACTTGCGCCACGTCGTGTCGTCGCTCGTGTACCACTCGTACACGCCCAGCACCGGCGGAGCGCTGGCGGAGATGAGCCGCGAGGTGCTGCAGGCCAACGCCGCGCATCTGGATGCGTATGCACACGACCTCGACAGCGACGAGAGCGACGACGAGCACGACAAGACGACGGCGCGGCTCGCGCTGGCCGTACGACCGCCTCGCGTGATTCTACTTGGACCTAAGATCGGATAGACGCGGTGCCCGATCGCGGTCGTGGCCGTGCCCATGCTGCCCAAGGCCGCGCCCGTCGAAGTCGAGCTCCTCGCGCTCACGCACAAGGCGTACGCGACGTTTGCGCCAACGACCCTCCATTGCGGTACGTCCTATCTTCTTCTTCGAGAACACGCTGGACAGAGGTCTGTCTCTGTAGAGTCGGACGGACTGCGCAGCGACGTGTCGGTCCTGGCGCGCAAACTCGCGGTTGGGTTTCTGTTTGTGGCGCCGGGGCCACCGGCGACGTGGGCGCGGCGCTGCGCAAGCTCCTTGCGCGTGCGCAGCTGACGTGGCGCCACCTCCTGCATTTGCGCGTGCATGTTGTCCACGGCGCGGCGATGCCGTCGGGTAGGGTGGCCGGTTGGAGTCGGATTGATACATTGATATTATTAGGACTGTTGGACCTGGACGTGGCGACGACGTTTGTGCCCGTCGAGCACATTGCGGGGGACGCAGCGTGCGTCATCCAGCTGCTGGCGATGGACGCCGACTTGCTCGAGACCGATCTCTGGCTGGCGCGCCAGCTCTAACTCAGTAGTTCATGGCCGCCTTGAAGAGCTTGGCCTTCTCGAGGAGGTAGTTCCAGTTCGGGTTCGCCTTGGTGTTGCTCTTTGTAAAGTCGACAATGACCTTCTTCGCCAACGGGCCCTTGTGGTTGGAGAGCATTGCGTCGAGGACCATGTCGACGCGCTCCATGTTGTCGACGCGCTTGCAGAAGCTGTCGCGCTCGTCGCCCGCGAGCTCGTAGCAGGCCGTGCACGCGGTCTTCATCTGGTGCTTGGACGTCTTCTTGCGAGGGGCAGAGCCCGTGTACGCGGCCTTGGTGCACTGCTTGGAGAAGGCGCCGATGCTGCCCATGGTCGCAACGATCTCGAGCCGCTCCGACTTGATGTCGCCGTACTGCACCATCAAGGCGAGGTACTTGGGGTCGCCGCCGTAGAGCCCCGGGCAGCGCATCGTCGGCGGCGGCTCTAAAAGCGTCGGCGGCTCCATGGGCAGCGCGTCCAGCATCGGCGCGGGGCGCGGCTCGGGCGGCGCAAGGCCGGCGTTCTTGAGGTGGCACGCGCCGTTGATGTGGCGCTTCCACTTCTTGAGGCCATAGGCGGCGTCGGCCTGGATGACCGAGTGCCTCCCGGCCTTGTCGACGCAGATGCCGCACTCGATCCAGCGGCCGAGCTCGCACTTGCGGGAGATGCTCAGGTCCTGCTCGACCTCGTCGTCCCACCCGCTGCGCTTGGCCTTGGGCCGGCGGGCCGTCGCGTACGGGTCGAAGTGATACGCCATGGCTCGAAGATATAGTGCCCTGGCCCGAGGCCCGAGGGGCCCACTTGGTCTTTGTATGTGGACGGTAAAATATTACGGCTGGTGGTCAATCGGATGCGAGCACAAAGAGCCAGGCCCGGGACCAGACGTTCCATTTAGTGTCATTGGCATACACCGTAAATAGTGTTGTCGATCAATATCGTGACTAGCGTATGTTGCCTGCCGCCTAGTCTGCCACGCAAAACGGGGCTGGGTGTCAAGGGTCCATAAACAGTTTATGGACCTTTGTGTATAATTACATTGCGCTACTAGTAGACACCAAGGGGCAGTAGCCAACGCGTATTATGGGCGGTTGATGCCTGCGATTGACACGCCGCAGCTGCGTCCACATAGAGGCGGTGACAGCACCAAGAATGGACTATACAATATTTTGAATGGCGCTCTCGGCCTCACTGGTCATCTCCAACGAGGCCGTGGTCGCAACCCTCACGAAGGATCTTTTATTATGCGACCTACAGCTCTTGCGAACGACAAGCTGGTTTAGATACACGTGCGACGGCCAGGCCGTGGCCACGATTCGGCCGCCGGCCGCTGGCGTCGAGGAGGGCATCCTCCTCCGCGTCCACTTTGCCGCCGCAGATGCGAGAGCTGGTGCATGAAACCACAGATGCCGCTTTGGCCATCACAGTAGAAAGAGTCGAATAGAAACTTACGTGTCACTACAACTTGTAGCGGAGGTCAAGATCGAGTCCAATTCCAGGTCCACACGCAAGCGACCTCTCTATCGCGACGTCCATTGCCAGTCGTTTGCATCCGACATTCCAGAAGAAGAGCGTAGAGCTGCATGTCCTATTGCACTATATTATCTTGGTACCCGTTCTGTCGACCTACGCGCTCTGTGGTCAAAGCTGCTGGGTTGCGCGCCAACTCGGTATCCAATTCTCCAGTGTGTTGAAATACGGGTTGTGAGAGTTTCCAAAACCTGTGAGAATAGATATATTGACAGCCAATCAGACGCGGACTGGAATTGCTGGTGATCCACAACCAATGAGCGCGTGGCCAGTCGCTGCGAGTGGTTCATTTTTGAATTCCCTTTCAACAAGTCTTCCACGTACGTCTACATGCGACTCCTGCCACGGGCAGAAGAGATGCTCCGCGGCCAATGGCATGGGCTACGTACCATGGCATGCGCCGCGGGGCAATCTATGGAGGCGGGCGGTCGCGCGACCCCCGACCTTGGCGCCGAACTGGAGGGCTAATCCTCATTTACGTAGCATGGTTCGCATGTCCGTCCTCGCCGATTGTCTTAAGACGATGTACAACGCCGAAAAGCGCGGCAAGCGCCAGGTGTTGATCCGCCCGTCGTCCAAGGTCATCGTCAAGTTCCTCCAGTGCATGCAGAAGAACGGCTACATTGGCGAATTCGAGATCGTCGATGACCACCGCGCCGGCAAGATCGTCGTCGAGCTCCGCGGCCGCATCAACAAGTGCGGTGTCATCTCGCCCCGCTTCGACATCAAGCTCCAGGACATGGAGAAGTGGATCAACAACCTCCTCCCGTCGCGCCAGTTCGGCCACATCGTCCTCTCGACGACGTACGGCATCATGGACCACAACGAAGCCCGCCGCAAGCACACGGGTGGCAAGGTCATTGGTTTCTTCTACTAAACCATTTTCTCGGCTACGATGGAAGGGAATGTCGTTAGACTTTGGTAGCGATTCGATCTAACAACTATCGTCAACCAGTCTACTCTCCTCAACATGTCTTATTTACCATTACGTCATTGCGCCTTCTCCCGACTACTGCAATGTACAATTCTGCAATGGCCGGATGCCACAATGAGCAGCGCAGCGCAACCCACTGTCCGCGCCAAGGCAGAACACGCATTAGCATCGTTGCGATCCTCCTTGTGCCCTTCGGTGCTTGTCCGCCTTGGCTCGACGGCGGTTGAATGACCTCGTACATGTACCAAGATGCACCTCGATGACGTTGGCTTGGGCGAGTATGTCTGGCAGCCGCGATGACCGCCGTCTCGGGAGCGGCGCGTTGCCGGACACACCAATCAAGAGCAAGTATGACATATCGTACGCAGCTACTTCGAGGACACCGGCGCACACGTCTCGGTCTCGGCGAGCGGCCACAAGGTGGCAAACTCTGGGGTTGGCAAACCCGTGTTCAGGTACAGCCTCTTGGCACAAGGAATGAACCCGCGCTCGATCGTGACGAGGTCGCCGAGATGGCGCGTCCATGCCAGTCCTTCAGCGTGCGTCCGGGCGTCGCGCCACTCAAGGGCTTCGAGGTCTGCGGCGTCCGACAGTTCGAGCGACCCAGCGGCGCGCTTCGTCCACGACCGTCTTGGGCTTGGCGAGCTTTTGCAGCAACTTGCAGGGGAAGGCGAGAGCCTCGGCACGTCGCGCTGCAACACGAGCGTCCGAAGCGCGTCGCTGTAGTCGGCGAGGACACTCATGAGCTCGTCCATGTTCATAACGTAGCAGGCGGCGCGAAACTGGGCGGCTTCGTATGCTGCGAGACGGGCGTCGTGGGCTGCCTCGTCAGGCGTCGGGCTCGCGGCAGGCGCCATGTTCTGCGCGACGGCAAACGGTGGCATGTCGTCGTCATCGTCGTTGTCGTCGATGGCGAGAGCACTCGAGACATTGTCGAGGCGCGGGTTGTTTCTCGTGGTTGTGGCCAGCGGTGCGAGCTTGGCTTGGATGGCGCGGAGCAGGCCCAGAAAGTGCATGTGGCTTCGTCACGCGGGAGTGACCAGCGGAGGCTTCTTCTTGTTGGCGACGTCGATGGTCCACGTCGCCGCCTTGGCTTTCTTGGCGCCGTTTGCCTTCTGGTGCCACCGACCGCACTCGACTCGTGCTGGCGCCAAATGCCCAATGATCAGTGCCTAGCATTAGGTCCAAAGTAGGTAGAATCCCCAACTTGATCGTGGGAAATAGGACACCAGCCACCTCCAAATGTCGCCGAGTATTTTGGTCGAATCCAGTTCCAGTTTCGTCACATCAACATAGTTGATGCAAAAGGATCGTGCTAGAGCAGTCCAGACCCTTTCCCAGAGTCGTGCTACCCACATGCTGGTGTACTACTGTTCGCTTTGCCCCCCCTTGCAGTAGACGCGACGACATTGAATCGGGACGGGTGTGGTGGTTTATGAATTACAAAAGAAGAAAAGGGGGTGTTTACGCGGCCTTGGCCTTGGGCGCCGCGTCCTCGCACTCGCCCTCCTTGAGCTCGTAGCCGTCCGGGATGTCGAACGCGTCGACGGTCTCGCGCTTCGCACGCCGCGCCTCCCACGCCTTGAGCGCGCGCTTCCGGTTCGTGACGAGGCCGACGTAGGCGCAAATGTCAATGAAGAGCTTGGTCGGGTTGTACTGCGACGCGATGCCAAACTCGCTGGCGGCGTAGTCGTACGGGAAGACGTGGTGCCAGTTGTGCCAGCCCTCGCCGATCGCGAGGAGCGCAACGATCGCGTTCTCGGTCGATCCCAGACCACGCAGCTTCTTGCAGCCTTGCCTGGTTGTTAGCCGCCGAGTTGACGAGCCACGTGCAGTGGAGGATGAGCACGTAGCGGAGGAAGCCGGCGACCATGAGCTCGTTCCAGAGCGACTCGCCAAAGTAGTAGTGGCACACGAGCATCGGGAAGCCAAAGCTCATGAAGAGGTTGCCCCACGGGTTGATGGCCATCTGCCACCGGATCTCGAAG